TTGAACAATGGATACTGGGGAGAAAGAAACAAGTGACCATTTATTAAGTGCTTGCACAATAAAGTAATCGGAAAGGACTTCCTTCAGCTTAACAAAATCAGTGGTGTGACTGCAGCAGCACAGCAGAGAAGATAGTGACTGAGTTGCAAGCTGTGTGGATCTCATTGGATTTATAGGCTGAGGCTTTGATGGAGCTAGTGTAATGAATTTATATTTTTCTGGAGCTCAGACACTCATTTCCAGTGAGTTACCAGTTGTCTCTATTTCCACTGTGCAAGTCGTTGTTTAAATTTGGTAATCAGTAAATCTAGTGATAAATGTTTGGGTACAATTTCAAAGGAACAATATTAATCAATAACACAGCTAAAAGAATAACAAAATCATGTCAACACTGCTTCTAATGACAGTAAGTAACTGGCTCTTATGACATTCAAAGGGTTGATTGACATGTGTGTCACTGTTATTTCAACAATTTTTTCTTAGTATTCTGGAGGGCACAAAAGGAACATACAAGGAGCTGTAAACATTTTCCTTCACACTTTATCATCTTACTCAAAACACATGGAAGCCTTCTTGTGTTGCAGAAAAAGTGTCTGGTCTAGAACACAGTGCACCATAATTGACAAAGTGATTTGATGTATTGGGGTTTATAATTCCAGTAGGTCAGTGTCAGTAGCTAAGAGAGCTGCTAGCACAATTCTCCTTTGATAGCAACATGACAGTGGTTATCAAGGGCTGGATGGGGTATGCCATATAGCTTACTGTAAAATAAAGAACTACTAGGTCTGATATGCAAAGCCCATTTATCCAGGCCTCGAGCACAGGACCAGGATTTGAATGTAAGAAACAGAAATAGATGTATGTGGAGGAGATGACATTCTACTTCATGTTGAAAACCCCTCTTTTATAGTATCTAATTAAAATGCAATACACCTGCTATTATTTAAAGCTAAACAATGAAAAAAAATCCTAAAATTCAAAAAACTTAATTTTTCTGCTGTATAATTAGGGCTTATGCTTTGTTTTTTATTTTAAAGAACAGTCAGTGTTCATGATTAAAATGGAGAGAAGTCACAGAAATGCAGCATAATAAAATATATCAAGTGTCACAGGTGTTATTTTGTACATCAAATAATCTCCTCGGCCTATTTAGTGCAAATAACTAGAACTGTGCTTCTGCTGTGATAACAGTGAACAGATACTAACATAGTGGTAGTAGTTGCTACACCAGAGATTATATTTGTTTAAAAAAAAAATGCTGTTCTCTCCTGGGAGGAGGGAGACTTCATCTCTGTTGCCAAGAATTTACTGGTTTTGTTCTTGGTGTCAATGGAGCTCCTTTTCATTGTTAGTGTTCAGTCTTGCAAAGTGTTGAGCTCCTTCAGCTCTGAAGTTATGGGGAGCTGAAGGCACTTGGAACAGCCAAAAATTGCAGAATCAAGCGTGCAAGGCCAGACCCAATGCACTTTGAGTTCAATAAAAAGACTCCCATTGATGTCAAGGACTTCCCAAGCGATCTAGTTTCACCTGGAAGCTGATAGCTTTCGGTCAAATTGGTCCAGCTATTCACCATCACATCTACCCACCAATGTGAAAACATATCCCTCTATCTCAGAAGTAATGGAAATTAGGCTTGATACACATTTACACTAAGGCCACTTTTCACAACTCTGGCGGCCTAAAAGGCCTTAAACTACATCCACATTAAGGGCACTTTACACTGCCAGAGCAGATGTAAAGGGGCCTTAGGATAAACAAGAATCAAGCCCTCCCTCCTTTAAAAAAAACCCAGGTCAATGTGGGAAGTCCTAACTCGTGTGACAATAATGGAAAAGTAATATAATTATTTGTATTTTTCCATACATTTATTTTTTCTACCACATTGTTTGAATCTTGAATTTGTGTATTTGGCCTTTTAAATTCAGCTATAGGCACTAACCAAAGAAACAGACAAACTAGAAAACTCCTAATATCTATCAAACAGTAGCTGGCATAATACTGAAATTAGGTCATAATTCTTAGTAGTGTTCTTTCTATAGCAATGTAAAATTTAGTTTTAATTTATTTATGTTACAGTAATTACACTGTGGATCTTCTTTACAAATGTAAATTCAGATTTGTACTACAGTAGACTAAACTTTACAAAGAAAAAAGAAGCTGATACTAAGTATTCAAATTATTTGTAATGAATAACAAATATTTTTGACGATTGTACTGCTATGAAAAGAAAAACAAAAATCTACCCACCACCTTCCTCTCTCTGCATATATACATATATATTCTAGCAAGGTAGTTGACACTATCTTCCCAGAAGCTAAGTTCATAAAACCAGGGAATGGAAAAAAAAAGAATGAGATAGAGAATGCATGCAAGAGAGCAAATATCAGAGTTAGGGAAAAAAGGTAGAATGGAAATAGATCTGGGAAAGTTCACCATTCAGTTACTGTAAATAATCAGTTCCTGTAAATAGTAACAGAATAAGAAAGTTTGAAGATTAGACGAAAACAAATAAAGGCAATCTAATCTGATCTAAAAGGAACATTCTGCACATGCTTGTATTGTATAATCCTGATATTTAAAAGAAACTTCATATAGATAATTCATATTTTAAATAACTCAGACAAATGTACAAGACAAGACATTTGCATCTAATTCATTATTTGTCATAATTATTCTATATATTCTGTCTCTCTCCCTCCTGTAGGTGGCCACCATAAACTACACTTATCAAATAACTCATTAGCAGGGTTTTCAATACTGTCATATCCAGATAATTAGCAATTTATTTAAATAACCAATTTCTGTGGAAATAATTGCCATGGAATGCCCTGAACCTACTTTTTATGAACTATAATAAAAGTGTTAAAATAATCCCTGACATTTGCAAATGCCATTAGTTCACCTTTCCTTTTGATAGTGCTATGGCATTATGTTTAAACAATTACCCGATAATGCAGCAGTTTAATGAAATAGTGCAGCAAGCACATCCTTCAAAATGGCCAGTGAATGCATTTATATGCAGAAGAAAATTCAGTGAACAGACATGTCTGGAGAGAAATATGATATACAGCTAGTATAAAACCCCAGAATGAAAGCTATTAGTACCACATAATGCTCAAAGTACTAGTAAACAGATGATGCACCAAAATGTCATGTTCAAGATGGATGCAGCCTATAGTTTAGGCATACAATTCAGAATCTGATTTATCAAGGAACCTTTATAACACTTCTATGAGTGGAACCTATCTCTTCCAGAATCAGTTTGGTTCATCACTAATTTATATAATAACAGCTATTGCCAAATTTATTACTGATTCTAGAGCTTGATAACAAGTAACAAAGTTTTTGATTTTTCAGTATAGTCCAGCATATGGCATTTTAGTAAACCCCGGGGTTTTCCAAAATAGAGAAGGGCTCTGAAGTATTTGCATTCAAAACTTTTAATTACATGTTCATTTCTCAAAAAGAATCATTAAGGGAATATTTGCTTTATAGGCCACATCAGATTGGTGCCTACAATATCTTAGATAATTAGCCATCATCTTTAAAGCAAGGACTGACTCTGACTGGTATTTAGTTTTAATTATATTTCAATGGTGAAATCCCAGTTCCATGAAGTTAATGGCAAAATTCCCATTGACTTCAATGGGGGCAGGATTTTACCCCAAGACTTCAGAACTAGGTCTACAACCCTGCCACATTTAGGACAGTGTCTGGGTCACTGCAGTCTGCCACTCATTTTTATTCTCAGCTAATGATATTCTCAGCCAGTTATGTCCTCCAGAGGAGATGGAAATGAAGGAGTCTACATTTTCTTTGCTAATGGTTTGTCTTTTCCTTTGCCTTGTGTCAAAAGGCTGTCCTTCAGGATTTTAATGTTTTTGAGTCCATTCTGTGTATGTCTGTGAACACCAATAATTATTTTGCCCCACTTTCTCCCTCAAAACAAAAAAATGAAAATGTGGGAAATGATGGCATCAATTATAATCAAAAACAGAAAGAAAAAAGTGGCCTTTTCAGTTTCCCCCCCTTCTTGAATTACTAGTGATGATTATTTATGAACCTTCCATTGTAAAGTTCATAAAATCACCAGAGTTCTTATTCAATAAATGTTTAGTTGTCATAGGAGATTTCTTTAAATTAATAAATGTTAGATTTGGGGCGCAGAGAGAAAAGGAAATTTTTTCTTACCTGTAAATGTTATTTCCCCAGTGGACAAGATCAGTTTCTAACTTTTTCACTTACATCACACTTGAAAAGAGAGGAGGAAACAACAGGGCTGCAGGATTTTGGGGTGCTCATACAAGGACTTTGGAGGGTGCTCCTAATGTACCCAGCCAAGAAAGTTACAGTATTTACTATCACGCATACTTACAATCTGGGAAATGTGATGACCCAGTGAGAATAAAACTGATTAGAGCAGGGCCGGCTCTAGCGTTTTTGCCGCCGCAAGCAGGGAGGAAAAAAAAAAAAGACGCGTTCGGTGGCAATTCAGCGACAGCTCTAGGGCTGCTTCATTCTATAGCGGCAATTCGGCGGGAGGTCCTTTGCTCCCAGAGGGAGTGACGAATTGCCACCAAACTGCCAGACGTGCCGCCCCCCTCTTCATTGGCCGCCCCAGGCACCTGCTAACTATGCTGGTGCCTGGAGCCGGCCCTGAATTAGAGAAGTCAAACTCAGGTAAAGGGAAAAAATTTTATCCAGAAAGGCAGGCAAGTCTTTGGGGGTAGGGACCTTCTTTTACTCTGTCTTTTGCAGCACCTACCAGAATGAGGCCCTGATCCTGATTGTAAAATAATACAAATAAAAATGGCAATCATCACTGAGATAAACTCCCAAAATAGCACTAAGGGAGGGAACATCTGAGGAATACTTTGTTCATTAGAGAAACATCATTCACAGATGCCTTACAAGATAGTCTCCCAGTGGATAGGTTGGTTTCTAATTAGATAGGTTCTGTGCCTCATTCACTCAACCAAAGCGTGCAATTACTTCTTTAGAACACAAAGTACACAGACACTACTCAATCTGAAGTCTGAAGCTGCATCTGCAGATAGCTACCGACGCCCAGCGTACACTGGTGACTTCATCGGGGGCCTCTGCGGAGACGCGGTTTGATCGACCCCGGAGGGCACAACGGTGCAACGCGCTCGGATAGTGGAGAAGCAGTTGCGGGCGATGGTGAGAAACCAGTCCCTTGGATAAGGTAGGAACAGTCCAGTGGTGTGGACTTTTGCCTGTTAGGACCCTAGGCCATGGGGCAGGGACAGAGTACGACAGGCAGGGCACGGTGTACGCCCTTAGAATGCATTCTAGCAAATTGGAAAGTGTTTGACGCAAATCCAATAACTAAAAGTAGATTTAAAAGGTTCTGTACAGTAGACTGGCCTCAATATCAGCTAGAGGACCAGGAAAGGTGGCCACCGGAAGGATCACTTAATTATAACACGATGCTTCAATTACTCCTGTTTTGTCAGCGAACGGGTAAATGGAACGAACATATGCATGTGCAATGGTTTATGGCTTTATGAAATAGAACAGATATTTTGCAAAAGTGTAATTTGACTCCGACAGGTTCGGTAGTAGCTACAGTTAGTCCCCAGAAACCCCCCCCCCACAGCTGTAATGGCAGGTCCGGTGTCCCCTTCAGCTATCACACCCCCACCATATAAAGAAAGGGTGTCTCGGGTTCCAGAAATCGCCCCCTCAGTGGGATTTTATCCATTGATCACCGAGACCGTGGTGTCCAGACATGGCTTGGATAGGAATCAGGCCACTACTATGCAGGTTTACACCCATGTGCCTTTTAATCCAGTCGACCTAGCAGCCTTTAAGGCACAGGCAGGGGAATTCTCCATGAACCCAGGCAAGTTTATCTCAGTTTTTGAAGGGTGTCTGGCCAGCCACAAACCTGACTGGGATGACTATAATATCCTCATGAGGACCCTGCTGTTGAGGAGGAGGAAGAGGAGAAAAAGCCAAAAACTAAAAAGGTTAAAAAAACTGTCTGGGATTGGGAGCTTATGAACGATATCAATTTGGCAGAGACCATCTAAGGAGGTCAAAGAAGATGAAGTAACCCTTACCTTGCCCCCCGAGAATGCCTGGATAATGACCCTTGCAATTGAGCCCTCAGCCATGCAAGCCCCAGAGTGGAGCTAGTGGAAGGACAAAAGGAGGGTTAAAAAGCAGCTTTGCTGGACAGTGTTGGCCCAGGGATTTA